CTGGCATGTGTCATCAGGACAAGCCTGTGCATGTGGGTCACAAATCTCCCAGTCAGAAGGACCTGAGGCAGATCACCATTTGGAAAAGAGCTCATTTCCAGGCAATGATTCCAGTGATTCGCATTTTTTCCATCACAACAGTGCTGAAGAAAACTGTACCAGCAGCCTGAACTGACAGATCGCCTGTTACACAGAGATGGCTAGAAGGTTGCAGGGTCATGTGTAGGAGGCAGATGCTTAACCTGACTCCTCACTGCCTGGGCAAGCTGTGTCACCTCAGGCAAGTTATATAACCTCTTTGTGCTGCCACTTCCTCATGCATAAAATGAGAAAAGTTGATCCCTGGCTCCACGGCCTCCCCCGCAACGGCTGGCTTGTGTGGTGCATGAGTGCACACACTTCATTCAGCTCACGGCTGCCTGCCAGGTGCTCAGAACAGTGCCTGGCACACAGCAGGTACTAACAAATGCTGGAGGGATATTAAGAAAAGCGAACTCCTTGAGAGCAGAGTGTTCTGCCTCAGCCTGTTTCTGGGAGCTGCTGTATCACCAGGTGCCTACGACCATGCCCGCTACAAAGAGGCACTCAGTGAATATTCACTGCATTACTAAGCAGAGGGACCTGCACAGGCCGGCGCCTCTGTTCAGACCCGCAGCCTCTCTGCAGTGCCACACACGAGTGTCTTAGCTGCTGAGCACAGCTGCCTCAGCCAGAAGAGAAAGGATTTTGCCTTCTCTCTTCTGATCAAAACTCTTTCCAATCCCACTTCCTATTTCCTTCTTAGTGGAAATGTAGAAGGTAATTTATGGGGGAAAGCCAACAAAATTACAGACAAGTGCACAGACATTGAGATAGCATTATCATACAGACAGTTTCTTTTAAATACAAGGGAATACAAAAAGAAACTGGATTCACACAGTGAATGGTACTGTAATGGCACTCACTTCCTGTTCAGCCCACAGACTCTAGGAAGGCAGTAGCCTCCCAGTGGGCATCAAGGATGTGGCAGGCTGTTGGGAGGCACAGATGGTCTTGGAGATTCAAGATGACCACGAGTGGTTCGCAAAACACTTCCCTGGGCACTTTCCAGTGTGACACGACTGTCCCAATGAATGCTGAGAGCCCAGGTTATGGTGCAAATGGAGGAAATTAGGTCCATTAGGGGAGAGGCTCAGGAGAGGTGAGCCACAACATTCTCCAAAGTACAGACCACTTTTGCAGTGTTCCATGAGAACTATGCAAGCAGGATTCTTTGCAGTCAGTGAAATTGGAGAACTGACAGGTTAAACAGGATTACACAAGTTTCCTGACTGCCTCTTGACTTACTAGAACCTACAAAACATTAAATATATTCTGGATCTTCCATATTTATTTTTCAGAACATCGTCTAAGACTGGTATTCTGAATAATATTCTTTAGGAAATCTTAGAGGGATCAAATAAGAACAGGAAGGCAAGGATTAAAATGGAGCCCATTTGTAGAGTATAACAAAGGCAAGATGACTGGGGCTGTTTCATGCATTCTGAATAACTTCCTATTACTCTGGGAGTGCTATTTCAATCATAAAATTATGAAAATCTAAGTGGCTCTTCAGAATAATAATAATAATAAAACCTTTTATCAGACTCACAAAGACAGCAAAGCTAACTCCCAGGCTAAAAAAGTTATTGCAGTTTTCTAATCTATGACAGCTACAGATACAGGCTTAGAGCCTCCACCTCTACCCATTGTGCAAGGGAAAAGCACAGGCACAATCTATAAAAAAAAAAACCAACTCTCAGTAGATCTCAAGGGGAAAGTTTACTTTAGGGGTAAGGGGTAGAGAGAAGAAACTAATGCTGAAAATGCTTTGTCCTTCCTCTTGGGTCTCCTCCAGGCTGGTGAATGGACAAAACCCAAGTGAATGCAGTGCTTTGGACTTTAGCTGATTACTGCCCTCTGCTGGAGTGTGCACACCACACCATTTTAAATACTCTCAAGGGTAGGCAAATACAAAAGCAACAAGCATTTACAAAACGTATACATAAAGCACTTGGAACTAGTGGAGTTGGATATTTATCCAGTGTGGCTTTGGTTGCAGTCACTTGGCTGTCCCACAGACCCATCAAAGTCAACCCTTCTAAAACTGAGTACATTTCTGGCATAATCCTAAGCCCGCAAGGCCTTCCTGTAGTCTCACCAAGGAAACACTCCCAGGAGGGGAGGAGCCGCTCTTCTCCCTCTCCATTGGTGCTCAGTCAGACCCTGAACCTTCAGAGCAGCGCTCAGCACCCCACCTTTCCTCTCTCCTCATACCTCTGTGGTGTGGCCCCTCCGCTGCATGCAGTCTGCAGCCCACTGGATGACTTCTGCCTTCCCCTTGTCCCCTCAGATCTATCCTATGTACTCTCACCAGAGCAACCTTTTGAAAACAATCATCTCATCATTTGATAAAGTTCCCAGAGCTGTCAGGGGAATCCAGCTCCTCGCCTCAATACAAACCCTGCCAATCGGCCCACCTCTTACACCTGATTTCCTGTATCACTACCACTGCACATACTCACATGTGTGCGCGCACACACACACACACACACACCCCTACACTCCAAGGACTGCAAATAACCTCTGTTTCCCCCATGCTTCATAACGCGCCATCTAGTTCAGCATTCTACGTTACACGTATTTTCACTGCCTGAAATTCCCCTCTCTGTCAGATCACAGCTCCCAGTCACCTTCAGAAAGCTTTCCCTGACCCTTCCTCTGTCACAGTCCGCAGCCTGCTCACTCTATGATGTGCAAAGGACTCTTAGCGCACTTAATCAGCCTCCACTGGGAGAGCTTCTGCCTCAGCCCCAAACTGTTAGCTCCCTGGACAAAGAAGTTAGACTCCCAGTACACATTTAGACTTCATTGCTCTTAGTTTGAAGAGGGATGACAAAGGAGGAAATATACATAAGGTGATCTAAAAAAATCAGAAGTTCACTTGAAAATTACAAGGGTGGAGGCTGAAATAAGAAATAAGGGCAGTATAAAAATGTCAGCAATGTCGTAGGCCTTGGCAATTGGCAGCCCAGAAACTTAGTTCAAAATTTTTATCAGCCAGCTAGAGGTAAGAAACCTGATTAACTACAGCTGCGCAGTAAACTTGGGCCAAGTGCTCAGGGGAAGCCAGCGTTCGTGACATGAGACCAGGAAGAAGTTTCTCCTATTGGCCTTCAAGGAGAAAGCATGAAATAACCCCTCCTTGGGCAGGAAGGGCAAACTGTAGCACCTTCAACACAACCAGAAGCGTCACTCACAGAAAGCAGCAAAGGCGCCTCCACTGCCCCAATCTTGAAGTCTGGCAGGACGCTCCATGGGTCAAGCTGACCCAGAGGCAGCTGCAGTGTAAATGACCACACAGACCTCAGCCGCTCACTGTAAATAGCTCTTCTCCAAGACTACCTTCCAGTGTTCCACTTACTTCCACCCACCTGGACTACAGCCAGTCTGGGCTGCCAATTAAAAGCAAAATCACAGATATTAACGAGCTGTTAATATTGATGGCTTAGGAACAAGAATCTTGCCTTATTTTTCCTCCCTAGCCCCAGCATCTAACATGGTTCCCAGTCCTACCAGGCCAATGTCCCTTAAAGTTAATAGGTATTTTATACTTTTTCACTACCCTGAAATTAAATAGAAAAAATAACATTATCTGCCCAAATATATATATATATATATATCCTTATCTTTACTTACAACCTCAAAAGAATCAAAATTAATGCTACCTTAACTAAAATATGAAGCAAAAGTTAATAGGTATTTTATACTTTTTCACTACCCTGAAATTAAATAGAAAAAATAACATTATCTGCCAATATATATATATATATATATCCTTATCTTTACTTACAACCTCAAAAGAATCAAAATTAATGCTACCTTAACTAAAATATGAAGCAAAAGGAAAGTACCTAACACTAAGACCGTATATATTTCAACATTCAAAACATTTTCCCTAAGACACAATGATATAGTCAGATTGTTTGCAATTGCTGTCAGGTAATCAGAATGCATTCCACAAAAAGTATAGGAATCTACAAAAACAAGTAAGAATGCTTGCTTGGATAAAAACTCATATTTAGCCAAGTGTGTTGGTACAGGCTTGTAATCTCAGCTGAGGCTGGAGGATTTATTATAAGTTCAAGGCCAGCTTGAGCTATGCAGTGACAGCTTGTCTCAAAAAAAAAAAAAAAAAAAAAGTAAGGAAGGATGGAAGAAAATCCATGTTCAGTACTAGGACATACTAACAGACCAGATTTATTAGTATAGGGAAAAAGTATGTGAAATGCAGTAAGGATCGCATGCCCAGATAAACTGCTAAGTTGGAGAAAACAAGGAATGATAGTAATGTTCCTGCAGGTGAGTTGGGCGCCCTGTGCTGGACTCGCACCAGGATTCCATGTACCTGATGTGAAATAGAGTATGGCACTGTATTATGAAAAATCTCTCCGTGCATGAACTCCCAACATGAACAAAAGTGCACATTCGGTCTTGTGATCAGCTGCATGGGACAACTCTCAGGTGCATGTGACAGCCCCCTACTTTGATGAGCCCGCCCCTCATGCTGACAAGCACCCCATCATCCCTTCACGATCCCCACGGCATCCCAAGACCTGCTGGCCCAGCACAGCAGAGCAGCTCCACAAAGGGTGAGTGAGCAAAACGACAAACCACTGACAGGAGGGCTGAGTGAATGAACTTTGGAACAAGAACGATCTGTGTATGGGGAGAGTGCTCTGAAGATCAGGAACGTAAAGGCCTAGCCCAGGTTTGGCAAATGGCACTCAATGAGTGCCAGCTGAATGAAATATGGAGATGGTTGTAGGTTCTCTGGTGCTGTTGGAGGAAGCCTATCCTACCACCCCAGATTTTGTCTATGAGCCCTTCTTCCTGCTTTGTTCCACTGTGCATCAACAGACTAGTGAACCAGCTAGTCCTTAGGCACCTGGGTTGCCTAAGTGGGGCAGCAGCATGCATACCTTCTTTAGTTTCTGCAGCTCCACAGGGCATGGCTGGTCTTTCCTCTGGCCTGGATTCTTGCTCAAGAGCCTAAGAAAAGAAAAAGAAGGAAAAACAAATCACCAAAACCCATTTGAGGCTAGAGATATCCAACAAAAGATGAAAATCACAATCACTGATCTCAGAGCTAGGAAGGGTGGACAGAAAGGAGTGGGTGAAACCTCTTGGAAGAACACACAGCCAGTGCCCCGGAGTGATGGGGACAAAAGTCAGGAGAAACCTAGAAGCAGAGGCCAAAACTGTTCCTGGGCTGCTTCTGCAGGTCATGAAGGTTCTCAGGAACATTATGTTCAAGCCAGAAAGAGAAGAGGATCTCAAGGTGAAAAGGAAGGCTCACTGGTTCATTCATCTGGAGCATCTCATGCCCATACCCTAAGACACAACGATGTCAGAGGACCAGGTTAGGGACAGGACTGCAATCATGAGGAGGATCCAAGGGAACCACGGGTTGGGAGCTAAAGCTGGCACACACTGACACAGGCATCCCAGGGTGCAGCTAAGTTGGTGAGCCTTCCCCAGGCTGAGTTTTCTGCCCTCTGGAACCATCTGGACTTTCCTTTCAGAAAGATTCCCCACAGCCAGCAAAAATGTGAAGAAACACAGAATGACGTGTTCATGCGCCAGCCCAAGAGTGTATGAGCACACGCTCCAAAATAAACCTGCAGCCTTTCTGGGGCTGGTAAGCACTAAACTAACACAGAACTCCTGACGCCTACCTGGCAGGTTATTAAGCTCAGGAACAAGTGTTGTACTCTTCAACCATTTCAGTACAATATCATGAGGCAGTGCGCAAAGAACATGAAAATGTACACAAGTTACTGAATCACAAAGGGCCAGGGAGTACAAAGTGCCTAATCATCTGTCCTCAAAGGTCATTAACTTTTTCAGCCTTTGCTGGACACAGAGCTCCCTCTTCCAGGCCCCTGGGCATCGGGGCATGGACCAGAATAGGTCTGTACTTGGATAGCAACAGGACAATCTGGGGCTGGGAACAAGATCACCGCACAAGCTCAAGGCCTGAGACAACCAATTGCCCCTACAGGTTTATCTAGCATCAGCTCTGACCTTGAACCCCTTGTATTCCAATGAGGGAAGATGCCAGGCCTACATTTAAAAAGGGGCATCAAACAATGCTAACTTCTTATCAAAACAAAACTTGGAATAAAATATTACCTTTTTGCAAATGAGAAGTATGAAAACTTAATTTTTACACCTAGTAACTTAGGAGGCCACTTTAGAAAATTTAAATGTCTTAGGTGTCTTATTCATTTTGACCCAGTTCTACAACTAAATTATCAGGATTCTGATTAATACAAATGCTTTCCTAGGAAGAGTTAATTAAAACAATAATTAAAAGACATAGTTAGGATTTTGTCCATTCACAAGTGTGGGCAGAACTTAGAGGTTGAACACATATTTACCACATACAAGGCTCTGGGTTAAATCTCAGCACCAAAAAGGACAAAAGAAAAACAGTTTTTCCCATTCTTTAATTTCTTAATAGCTCTCTTTACAATCTGGATATTTCACAGCCTGTCATTTTAATCTTTAATATTTATTATGAATTGCCCCGGCACCATTGTCAACTGGGATACAGAGTAAAAAAAAGCGGTTGCCAAATGTGGATTAGGAGGAGGATCACAGGAACGGCTCAAGGGCAGCAAAGCCAGTACAGGATTGTGCAGAAAGGCTTCACTGCTGCTGTTCCAGAAGGCTGCAGGTAACTGGGCAGTGCTCATACCGAGACTAACACATCTCCTTGCAGGAGACTGAACTTCAGGAAGCACCGATCGGCCCCTCAGATCACCATCCACAGCTGTTATACACAAATGAACTGTCAAACAGTTAATGCTTAAATGTATGGTTGATCTTGCATGCCTATGTCTGGTCATCTGAGCAACTACTTTGAAGATAACAATATGTATTATAACAATTGTTGTTAATTTCCTATCATCTTGTTTTGAAATTCTGTATTTGTTTTCATTGTTTTGTTTTTGCCTTTGTTTTTTCCTCTTCTTTTAAAATAAAAAAATGAACTTTTAGACATGCAAAATTCAAAAAGCATGAATATTTCCTGTCTGTAATCTATGTATAATCTCATAATATCTGTCATCCAACGTTGCAAAGCTTTAGTGTAGACAACCCATCTAATAATTCCCACCTGCCTACATTTAAAATAACACCTAACCAAGTATGCAGTACCACAGACAATTGTAAACTCAAGAATACCATAGAATTGTTTCATCAGGCCAGTGAGAATGAATGACCCAGATGTCAGAAAGAATCTCAACTATTTCCTTCCCTCCTGTGGCCCCTGCTTACTGCCCTACCAGAGACCTTTAGGTAGAAAGGAAGGAGGAGTGCTGAAACGGAACACTACTACATCTTCACTGCTACATTTACCAAGCATTTTTAGTGAAATGAGATGAAAACCTCAGAGAAAGTAGAGAACTACCCCTTACTGGTCACCATCTGATGTTGTGAACAATATTATAACACATCATGGAGTGATCTAGACTTATTCACCAGAAATCTTCCCCAAAAGTCATCAGCACTATTTCAAATGTGTATGAGAGATGTCACAAATCCAGCCCCAGCAGCACATGCAGCTGGTTCTACTGTTCTCAAGAGTTCAGTCACTGAGTGCCATTCTGCTGTGTAAATGTCTCTTCTGAGGATACCCATGTTGCTGAGCTCTGCCCCTTGGGGCCTTAGGGCACAGAGCTCATCCTGGGGACGTCTACATAGCAAAGCCAATGTCTGCCTGGCCACCAGGTGCTTTTGTGAAAAACCACGGCAATAGCTGAAGATTCCCATGACGAGTACTGCATCCTTAAGCAAATCTTCATGTGTATATTGTATGTAACATTGTGTGTCAGTAACATACACATAAAATTTCCTAAAACCCAACAGAGAGGTAGCTCATACTCTGAAGAATATGTTTCAATTGTTTAAATAAAACTCTATATGGAATAAGCCAATAATAACACATTTAATATATGTTTTGGGTGGAATTTTAATTATATGACACAAACATACAAAAGCCAAAACTGTGACAAATGACAATATCTATGTTCTAAGCTAGTTTTTTAAAATCTATCTTAAAGCTTGCACAGCCATGAAAATTGTGCCTTGCTAACAGATGTGCTTTAAAACCCAGGAGGTCATGGGATCTGGCTAGTAAGTCTATTAGACCTCTGATGCTGGTGTACTGGGTCAGCCCAGGTTCTCTCACCCAAAGTAACCTTTGCTTAATAATAATTGAAATGTATAATTATTCTTTATATTCTTTCAGCCTATACAAAAGAATAACAATAACAATGAAGGCAAAACACTTTAACCCCAAGATGGGCATGCTATGGCAGTCCTCAAAGTGGGGAAGGGGCCGTGGTGGAAGAAGAACACCTCTTGGTCCTTGCCCGTTCTTATGTGTACACTGGGACAAAAGCTTAACTGCATCTAAGCCATAGTAAGAAAGCCCAGGAGTAGATACACATCAGTCCTAAATGCAGCTTTAGATAAAAGTTACAATACAGTCAAGAATTATAAATAAGTGCAGAGAAAATATCCAATATGAGAATATTAAAATATAACCATGGGTAGGGCTGGCTCAGAAAAATATAGGAATCAGAATTATTATACAAACTATTTTCCTATTGCCAGCATAATATATAATAATCTTCATTTCCCATTCTAACAGTTTCCAATTCCATGTTCCCAAGGTTTCATTGGATTAAAAAAGTGCTACCTCCAAAAAAGCACTGTTCCCAAAGCAATAAACGGAGGCCTGAACTCTCTCCAGAAGCATGCATGTCTGTACACCAAAGTAACTGGCACAAACCTTAACAAGAAAGGCTCTGTCCCAAAAGTATTTTCGGAAGAGTTTAATATCTGCCTCCAGCAAGTGCCCAGCTGTGTGGTTAAGGGTCAGAGTCAGCGTGTCTGATGAGTGCACGTACTGCAGAGAAGCGTCCTCACTGAGCCTTGCCCGGGAGAAGCCTGGGGAACGTGGGCCCTGGAAACTGAAACATGACAAGTCACAATCCACACACAGCTCTGACAGTACCGCCCCCAGGACCCTGGGACCCTTCTCCCCAGACAGGACAAGTCCAACTGGCAAATGGTCCTTGAAAGTCACCTATATGCAACAGATGCGTAAGATCATATAAACAGATACTAGAAAAGCCATCTTTTTTTCCACCTAGGGAAACTGCTCACTGAAAAGAATCTGAAATATCCATATAGGGGCTGGAGATTTAGCTCAGTGGCACAGTGCCTGCCTGGCAAGTGCAAGGTCGTGAGTTCAATTCCTGGTACTGGAAAAAAAACAAACAAAAAAAGAAATATCCATATACTTTCAAGATTTCTACAAAAAATGAAATGGTAATGACTTTCAAATATAGAAATTTATCTCACTATTTCATTTTCCCTTTAATCAGAAAAGATGCCTCTCCCTTTAATAGGGCCACATGTAGAGCAAATTAGCTGCAGCCAGTGGTTTATTAGGTGATTACAGTAGAAAACAGATACAATCTCTAGGGAGGCAGTGAGGTTTGGCTGTTACAAACAAGTGAGATAGTCATAATACACTGGGACTGCTGTTGTAAATTCCTTTTTCATGCAAATTAAGACATGCATAAATTTGATCATGTGTATTCGTGAATACACTCATTAACAAAGGAACAATATCCCAAACTAAATTCTTGAACATAAGCTTATTATCTGTTCTGTCTTGGCTAGGAACAACTGCATACTTATTAGCTAGATGTAGGCTTCATAGTTAGTAAAACAATATTCTAGACGGTTTATAACAACAGTAAGGATGCCTCAGGAGAAAGAAATTACCATTCAGCATGTTGTCACATCCCAATATTCCCAGATTCCTCAATTCATACTCTCAGCTCCGCGCCTCTTCCCTCTTTCAACATGACCTCCTTTTGTTAATGAGTGTTTGCTTTCCAGAAATGTTACACAGTCCCCGACTTAGGATGGCTTGACTTATAATTTTTCAATTTAGCCATGGTGCAGAAGGTATATGCACTCATTAGAAGTCTTACTTCAAATCATGAATGTTAACTCTTTTCCCGAGCTAGTAATGCTGGCCGGTGGTAGAGCACCACAGCTCCCCAGTCAGCAACATAATCCCAGAGGAAACAGCGAAGCCGTGCTGTTCAGTAGGTTAGGTGGAGTGTGTGCATTTTTCTCGTGAGACTTTTAATCTTACAATGGGTTAGTGCGGACATAACCTCCTCATAAGGTAAGGAGCATCTGTAGTTCCTTTGCAATAAATATTATCTCCATCAAATAGAGTGATAAAAAGTGATCTGTAAAGAGCAGCTATACTCTAAGATTGGGGAAACACCCCAAACTCTTCAAATTAATTGTGATAAGAACTTCAGAATCTTCTAGAAACAAACTCTCCATGCCAACAACAAGCCAGATAAAAAGATAAAAGAGAAACTCTCAAGCAGCTGAACTCACTTTGTGATCTCTTCCACAAGCTTGGAGTGTCCGCCACGTGAGGCTAAGTCTAATGGCGTGGCACCCTCTTCATTGGGTAACTCCAAGGCCTGGACACCCCCAGGGAGACATAAGAGGAAGTGGGGAAGCTTAGCCAGCCCCCATCTCACAGCCAGGTGTAGAAGAGACTCTCTGGGTAGAGACACTGTAGAGAAAGAAAAACATGTACTGTTAGTTCCTCCATTTCCAAAGTTTTCTCATACATTTTGTCAAAAAGACAATACGTTTAGACAGAAGAAAACATCAAAGCTAGAAGGAAATATGAAAAGCATCTGATCCCAACACCTCACTCCACAAATGTGAAGAGGTCCAAGGATTTGTCCAAGGTCAGGAAGCTAGAAGATGCGGAGCCAGGCCCACTCCTCCTTGGGTTGCTGTCCTTTCCACCCACAACACTACCCCTGCCAGGCCCTGTCACACCCATGGAAAGCAGGCCCTCAGAAATGATCTGGAAACAAACACTTGCCATTTTCCAAGGTACCCTTAACGAGATCCTCCTACACAATCAGGGCAGGATCAAAGGCCATGGCCATAAAGGAACTTCTGTCTCTACCCTTTGTCCTCAAAGCCACTCCTCCCCTAATGAGATGCTACACCAGCAACAGGCTTCAAGAGAAATCTTGAGACCACAGTCTTCGTCAAACTTCACAGTAGCACTTCTGCCCATCTATTAGATCCCTGAGGTTATTTCAGTATTGCCAAAGCCACTTTGGTGCTTTGTAACAAGCTAGGCCTGGACCTTTTTTAATGCCCCACACAAAAGGCCCTTCATTGGTCTTGGTTTCCACTGTGATATTTGCTGTTCTACATTATGATTGTTTCCTGATCTTATCACCTTACAGGCTGATGGGTCGTGGGACTTTTTATTCCTAATACCTCACATAGCATCTGGTAAAGTCAAGTCACTCAGTATCTGTGAAGTTGAAAGGCAATCAGCTGTTAAAATCCTAATTACCTGTGTATGCGTCAATTACCTACTTTGACTAAAGCTTGTATATCTGTATTCCTGCTGCAGCAGCTAAGTGCCTGGAGCTGGTCCATAACAGACACTGTGTTGTAAACATGTAAAGCAATAAATCTGCCTACATTAAAGAAGCTAGGTGCATGCTGGTAGTCCTCACACTCAGGAGGCTGGGGGTGGAGGATCACCTGAGCCTAAACGTTCAAGGTCAGCCTGGGCAGCAGAGCAAAACCCTGTGTTAAAAAATAAGTAAACAAGTAAAAGCTAGACCCATCAACTGCACAGGCATTGGCATACCTGCAACAAGCCTCCTGTTAACAACCTAAATATGAAAATCTCAGCTCTCAAGATCTGTTGCAGGAAACACACATGAAAATGTGAGCTACACATGAGCTCCATCAAAGTCATGCTCTTGACTGTTAGTAACTTAAAGAGAGCCCAGTGAGCTACGTCACAGTAGCATGAAAGGCTAGTGGGACCTTGTCTTCTAACCTGTGGTGTCTCCAGTGTGAACACAGTGCCTGGCCCGTGGTATGTACTCAATAAATATTTGCTTATTGGATGAATGAATGAATGACCAATGGTTCTCTCCTTGGTGAATTCCTATGAAAGTTAGCACTTAGCATTTGGTTGCAGCTGCTACAGGGAGGATCTGTCATTGTTAGATCTGCCTAAGGCACCTCCTGAGTGAAATCTGAGAACAGAAACTACAGACGGCCCCCCACTGCTACTATCCACATGAACATGACTGCAGAGCTCCACTGTCTTCATGCATGACTTCACCATTACAGGAACTTCCCTCAAGACTCATCCACTCTTTCATAGGAACCATCAACAGACAGGACAAAGACCTAAAACCAACTGTACACATACCCTAATCCTTCCCAATTTTGTCAGCTTGCTTCCAAGCCTGCCATTACCCACCACCATGTCCAGAATAAAAGATTCTCACTAAACCAAACTGGAAATTCTCAATATATTCCGGCCTTGCCACCTCCTCCCACTACAAACACACACACACACACACACACACACACACACACACACACACACATGCTGAGGTTCTTTGGAGCCTGTGTCTCCCTTCCCATGGCAGACAGTGATCTCACCCAGAACCCTAATTGAAAAGACTTAGGAGGAAATACTCTACTGCACAAGAATACCAAAGAAAAATGCCTATGTTTTTAACTGGGTTTTACTGCTATTTCTATATCTAGATTAATAAATGTAAGGCTTTAGGTTTCAAGTATGTGAATGAGTCTTTATTGCTATGAAATGCCACTAAGTTTTCTGAACATTTGTTCCATCATGCATCCGTGTGACACGGCACAGATCCTCCCAGTAAAATAACATCCAAAATGCCAAAATATCTAAAACCAGACAAGGCAGCACACTGCCACCAGATATCTATGTGATATACTAGACATCTCCATCTTTAAGAAAAAACAAAAGAGCTGAGTTGGCTATTAAAGAACTAATCTTTATTTTATCCTTTAACTTTTTTACCATTATTCTCATTTGATTAGAAAGTAGAGTTTCTTATACTTAACAGATCCCCAGCAGGGAATGTTGGACAATATTGGCATTTTTTTTTTTCCTTTTTAAGTACTAACCAGGAAGAGACTTCGTAGGAATGGGTAATAAAACACACACACACACACACACACACACACACACACACACACACACACATATATTCAGGCATGAGACAGCCTGTCAGCATGAGATACTAGCCAGCCACACTAGGGGGAATTTCTAAGAAATAGGTCCTGATCTGAATCTGGTGATGAATGTCTCACACTTGCACAGGTTGCAATTTTCTCACCCCTCAGAACAAAAACAAAAACATGATCACATGGGAATAACTAAGCCCTCTGAGTTCCCTTTTAAAATGCCAGCATTGGTAGAGGCAAACATGGTATTAATTACTTAGATGGTGCTTCCTGCAATGCCAGTGTCTGTGGAGTTTATGGTGCCCCAGATATGGTGAAATCTGCGTGCAGCTCACTGCCTTCAATGCAAATGAGGCAGCACATGTGAAGTACAGACTCCTCTACCAGGGGAGCCTGCCAAGCCCAAGTTCAGCTCCCCATTCTCAGCTTTGGGGCGCCAGCTCCGCATCTCCAAAAGGGGAGAACAGTAAACATGTGGAACTTAGTGGTGTACTGCTGACCCTCTGTGACTCTCTGTCTCCCCAAGATTTTCTCCACTTCCAGGGCTGGAAGGAAAGCAGGGGAAAAGAGGATCTGCCAACGTTTAAAAATAATGCACAAATAAACTGGCCAGAGTGTCATGAAAGAGCGCTGTCTCCTTCAGTATGAATGTGCAGAAGAAGGCAAACGGCTTAAATAGGGGGCCTCATCACATACATGAATAATTGTGCTTGCTAGAGAGTTTCGGATATCTAAACAGCAGCCAGAAAAACAACCTGTGGAAAAGAGTTATATAATTTGGCAGAGATAGGATTATTTAATTAACACTGAAAAAAATTTCCAAATAAATATATCTCTTTCTGTTTCGTTGAGACCTGGAGTGATCTGAACCAATGCAGCTAAGCAGAGTCACTAGTAATTGCTCTAACGGCAAACGTTAAAGGTGAGGCTGGTGATATCCAGGGAGTACAAACACCCAAACACCACTGGACAGGTTGGGTCATTCCCATAACGCACAGCCAGGGCCCATCTGCCCCAGACAGGAAGGAAGCCCAAAGTCCACCCTCCTCACTCTGCAGCACAGCATCAGCTTCTTCACCTGCCAAATGAGGCTGTCACAATGAAGAGGTAAAGTTCCTAAAAATATTCCATCTTCTCTTGACTTCATAATGAGCAAAGTATGGTGAGAAAGCACACACCAAGGGGACTTCCAGAACATCTGGGACAGAAGAGGCAAGCTGGTGAGATGGTTTGATTATTACCATCTCAAAAAAAAGTGGCTTTGTTCCCTGTCTATATTTTGAACCATTATTTTACCTACACAAGGTCTAACTGTCTCTTTCAGTTAGCAGGAAATGCAGCTTGGAGGATTAAAAAATTAATTTGTCAGTATGAGGTCATTTATCACAACAAACGCCCCACAACAGATGTTGGTGACAACGGGCAGACTGCATGTGCAGGGTCAGGGGACACGTGGGATATCTCTGTACCTTCTACTTAGTTTGTCAGGAATTGAAAACTGCTCTAAAACATAAATTCCATTAAAAATTAAATTAATTAATCAAGGCCCCTGGAACTCACAACCCCTGCTAGAGAAATGTAAATTGGCACAAGCTCTTTGGAGCACACAGTGATATTATCTAGTAAATTTAAAGACACAAGCTGGGCATGTGTCTACAATACCAGCACTCAGGAGGCTGAGGCAGGAGGACCAGTGCAAGTTCAAGGCCAGCCTGGGCTACAAAGTGAATTCAAGACCAGCCTGTACTGCATAATGATACCTTGTCTTAAAAAGATACTAGAATCTCACAGTAAATTCATTCCATAGCAAGTCCATTCCTACATATAAAGGAGTATGCTTCATGTGCACCAGGAAACATGCACAAAAATATAGAGATTTTTAAATTAGAAGTAATCTTAGTGCTCATCAACAATACAATCAATTGCAATGCAATCATATCACAGTATTTTTACAATAAAAATGAATTATAGACTAATAGAAGAGAGTAGCAAGTATAATGGAAAGTAGAAATATTCAAGTCATTAAATAATATACAGGGATGACTTAAACTAATAGTAAGTTCAAAACAAGTAAAACCAAACATGCCTCTTTCTCTCTCTCTCTCTCTCTCTCTCTCTCTCTAT